TAGGCATTGACAACATTGTCAGTCCTTGTTCTCTGACGTTATCCTAAATATAACGTAAAAAACCTATACAATTTTTATTTTCGTGTTGGTTTGCTAATGTGGATAATGAATTTGGAAAAATCAAGATGTTCACCTATAAATCATACTCAAAAAGAAATGCTCATTGAATTTGTAAGGCAAAATGAGAAACTTCAAAGTGGAAAATTTACCTCTGATTTTACCACAGGTTTTAATTATGAAGTTCTAGTTGGAGCCCGTATCAAGCCGGTGTCAATAAATCAATTAATGTTTCGAGCAAGATCTTTGCTTAATCTAAATATGTAGTTTTATAAATTTATTATTGGTTAAATCAAAGGGATTTTCTCTTCTGTAAAATCTCCTTATAGGCCTTTCTTCTTGCTCTTCTGCATCTAGTAAATCATTCAGTACAAGAATTCTTCCTATAACCCCAGCTTCCATGGTTTCCCACATTTTCGTATTGGACCGTATTTTCCACTTCATCACAATATGCAAATGTACCCAATTAGCAATTACTGATAATAAATGATTTGCGAAACAAACCTTTCTAGAACGTACTGCGTTATTCGGGAAAAGAGACTATTGCGGACTATTCTGGAATTTACAGGAATGGAGGACGGATATATAAAGACCAGAATTAGTTAATAGTTTTTAGTTCAAGATTAACTGTTATACGATTTAGATAGTGAATAATGTGTTTAAGTTGATTGAGTTAATTAGTGAAGTAATTAGTGTCAGGGTGTTATAGTAACGTTAAATAAATTATGGTTATGATAATTTGGACTTTAATTGAATGAACCCAAGATAATTATCACAAAAGTCATGACATTATGTTTATGCTTAATACAGTACTTCGGAAACATAGGTAAGTACTCAGGAATGACTAATACCTACTTCTCAGGGAAAAATCGAAGGCAGAAGAGGCCCTGGACATCGAATAATATCTGGCGACAGAATTTGCGTTAGTGGTATTGGGAAAACAACGACAAGTCTATTCAGAATGGCAGTCCACAAAGTACGCATAGCGCTGATGATTTCCAGCGCTCGTAGAGGACAAGGCACTTGAATAAGAAGCAGAAGATAGATGCTGTTACTTGACAAAGTGATCGATAGAAAAACATTACTTTGAACAAATAGTGTAGGTAATAAAAAAAGTATGAGGCCAGAGCTTATCGATGAAGTGTTTTCATTTTGGGCTTAATGGCCGTTGTAAGTTGGAATTTCTTCCTGATGGTTTGCTTGCACGCGTGCTAGGTGCTTCCATGTCCGAAACTGGTAGCAGATTTATGTTTTCCCGACCACAAGTTGTATCTTGTATTTATACCCGATTGGCTGTAGGCTTAGAAGCACCTGGCACAGTGGCGGCTCGTCGTATAAAGCAACTGAGGCCGGGCCTCACATGTAAAAATTACAATAATGATGTAAAATTTTGAAATAATATTCATTATAGTTATTTATGTATCAAGGGAATTATGAGGGTGTTAATACCCCAGGGCAAAGTTTGACACCAATTGCCCATGGGTATTAACACCTGATAATTCCCGTGGTACATAGATAATTTTATATCCTACTGAATTTCTCCTATTTTGTCCATTTTTATAAAGAAATTAACCATTGACTACCTATATGAGCATTCAGGTGCGTTTCTATGTGCCTTGCTAGTACAAACAAGTCATAGACAAGTAGTAGGTACTAGCTTTGTCTATGACACAAGTTCTATTGTTTGTTACTATGGCAGAGGCACTGTAACTATGGCTTGTTATTTATAATTGATAAAGGTCACATTTTGTCGTTGAAACGCGTTTTTGGTGAACAAAAAGCTTATTATAATGGACCAGATAATGAAAAAAGCCGAGGAAGCAAGAAAAACGTTGGTCCCAGCCAAGAGTGAGACTCTATATAATAAAGAATATAGAAAATATATCCACTGGCTGGAATAAAAAGGTATCCCAGCAAAGAATAGTGACGAAACTGTTCTCTTGGCATATTTTCAAGAAATGGTACGGTAACTATTGTTCATTATGTTTTGTTTAGTAAGTAATTGTGCCTTATTTATTGCAGTCAGAAAGTTTTAGTCCAAATTCCTTGTGGACTAAATGGTCAATGTTGAAATCCATGCTAGCTATATACGAAAAACAAGATTTTAAAAAATTCAACGAATTGGAGGCCTTTTTGAAACGAAAGAGCAAAGGTTATAGACCGAAAAAGTCTGCGGTATTGTCCCCTCAGCATATCGCCAAGTTCCTCAAAGAAGCCCCCAATGACATGCATTTATTAAATAAGGTAAATAACCTAATTTCTATATTTCTTTGTGTATGTATTCATTACCTGTTTTGCAGATAGTTTTAATAATGGGATATTTTGGAGGGTGCAGAACTCAAGAACTTCTTAATATGAAGCTAAGTGATATAGAGGACCGGGACAAGGTTATGGTCGTGAGTATACCAGACAGTAAAACGGGTATACCAAGGAAATTCACGATTGTTGATGAGGATGAGTTCGTTGCTCTGCCTTTATTGAAATTTGACATGTCATTACGACCTAAGGGTATCGGAAGATTTTTTTTGAACTACCGCCAAAATAGATGCACCTCCCAGCCAATCGGGAAAAATACATTCGGGAAAATTCCCAGTAAAATTGCATCATATTTAAAATTGCCAGACTCATCTTCTTTTACGGGACACTGTCTTCGTCGCACCTCTGCCACTGCGCTAGCAGATGCAGGTGTAACTATGACAAACCTAAAAAGGCATGGAGGCTGGAAAAGTTCCACAGTGGCGGAAGGATATTTAGCCGATAGTATCGAGCTAAAAAATCAAACGGCACGGATGCTCTCTACCTTACGATCAGAAGAGGCAGGCACATCAATTCAAATGTGTAACAGCAAAAGCCATACAGAAAAAAAATCAAATTGCAGCAATGGAAATAGTTTCCAGGGCAATTTTGATAATTGTAAATTTATTATTTGTAATAATAAAAATAAAGTTGATAGATTTTTAGAATAAAAGATGAATTGCAGTTTTCAATAAAGCTTTTTTGTCAAAATTTCTATTTTTTCTGAAAGTTCTACCTATTCAAGGTAAAAGCGGGAGTTATAGAAATCCTTAACTCCCTTGGGAGTTTTGATATCCTTAACTCCCAAGGGAGTTAAGACCCTGTTTATGATTATCGTAACCAAGGTATTATATGGTTGTAATAGTTCAGTAGGATATAAAATATTTAACGTTTTTCAACTATTTTCAATCATTAAAAGAATCAAAACATCGAATTTTCATTAAATTATAATACTATTTCTTGAATTTAGTATATATCCTTATAGGCGCTCAAATCGTTGCCGGACAGCATTAAAATAAAATAGCAATCCCAAAAATTTTGGCCTCATGTGCGTCACAGAACGCCGAAGCGATGCCACGGCACTCCCCACCACAACCTTTCAACCTTCAACTGTAGGTGAGACGATAGCAAATTTTCATAGGCATTGAGGCGCACAATTTTGGGCTTGTTAATAAGAAACCTTGCATCTCTTGCTGCTGCGACAAGTATTTAATTGGTTAATTGGCTCATACTTTTTATTTTGGTCTGTTGCGGGTTAAAAAAAATGTTTTTGGTTGAAATTGAAACTCAATATTTGTATTAAAATAAGAATTATGTACCTACTGCTGTTGTTTTGCAACTGTAAGAAATGAAAATTTTCATTAGAAATATACAAAAAAAAATATCCGAGATGTTCTTTTAATGAAATTTTGGGTCAAAATTTGGGCGTAACACTTGAAAATTTTGTTCGGGTTAACTTGATGGGCCATGAGCCTCACCAGTTTGGATTGTCACGAGCCGCCACTGACCTGGCATTTCTGAAATTTCTCTGTCCTGACAAAATACTCCTTAGTGAGGTCAAGCTTCTTCCACCAGCTTCTGAAGACCACAACCTTGTTGAACGTGAAGGTATAGAAATCCGTAAAAATACAGAGAACCTCAACAGCAAGGAATGAAAAATCTAAAGCCTTAACCAAACCTAATCCTTACCTTAAAAACACAGAACTATAGAGAAACTTCAGACTATCCAAAGCCCCTACACCATTACAGCCACTAAGTCCAAAGCCCCTACATCATTACAGCCACTAAGATATAAATTCCACCTTACGATGGTCATTGAGCCCGGCTGTTTCAATAACAATAAATCGAATGCAAAGCTTACCAGGTTGTCTACTGAATATTTGCTATGCCAAAAATCCTACTTCACGATGTGCTTCCGTGAACAGCACTAACGGTCAATAAATATATTTTAAAAAAAATTGAGAACTTATTATTTTGTCAATAATAAATCTATTTACCTTTTACGTATGTTTTTTTTTTTGGTCCCTAGCCCATAAGAGGCCAATGAGTCAAATAGAATTATATCTCAAATAAAGAGAATACTCTATACTTTATTCTCTCAATAGAAATTGCTTATAGGTATAGGGTATGGCGTCTAATAATGAAACAAATATAATAAAAAAATCACATTATGGCTCATGGCCGTAATCACATGAGTTCATGGAACAGTCAATGTATTGAAAATTACTAGAAGAAAATTTGAAGGTGAAGAGTTTGTGGTGAATTACACTAAAATTTCCGACAAACCACCGTCTATCATTTCTATCAACTATAAGATATGGAGTTTTTCGGTTGTTACCAGATTGTGCTGCCTCGACAATAATTCTTAATCATGTGGCATTATCGCTTATTGTAAATCGACTTAAAAGACAAAACTGTAGCAATTTAGAAAACCACACATTACATTTAAACAGGCTTGCGGAAAATTTACAAAAAAAATCCACGACTTATGATAAACATTAATTTTTTAGCACGTTTCATGATTGCTGAAATTCGAATGCCTAATTTATATGAAATAGCAGCAATTTATTTAACCCCTGCCTTTCCAATAAAAACTACTTATAGCCTTTGCCCGACTGTTGGTTAGTCAATTGCTTATTTATTCGAGGTAGAAGTTCTTCAAAAATGAAAACTGTTTATAATTCATTTTTTTGGTTATTAGTTATTGGCGTTTGTTTGGTAACTTTAACTTCAGTCAGAGCAGGTAAGAGAATAAGTTAAAAGATTTCAATTATTGCAAATGTATAGTCAGGGAGACGATCGCGTTTTTTCTATCCCGATCGACTTATGTGTCGACACTATTATCAATATATCGTATTATGTGCATCTATTAACTGGTATTCCTGTCTGAGAGCAAATGCTGCCGAAAATATCTTTCAACAAATTATTAACAAATTGGAAAAAACGTTGAAGTATAACATACCTGGGCTCGGTCAGCAAGATTGAACGGTTCGAATTTTTATTATCTTCTTCCTTTAGCAAATCTTCTACAAAACGAAATGAAAAACAAATACGTTGTCGGAACTTACCCAATTTTACTTACTTGACAGGCGCCTGTCAATGACAAAATTGGGGTCTAAGGGAAGTTGTGATATGTAAAATAAACGAAAAATTTGTGAAACGTGTAATTTACTATTGAAGAAAATCGTACCGTTTTCGACCTGGAACTCACCAGGGAAAATAGCACGGCAGAGAAAGCCTCGATCTACATTTCTCAAAAATCAAAACATATTGTGTCACTTTAAAAAATAATTGTGAGTCAACAAACAATAATCAATGAATGTTTAAATTAGGTACTGCCTCTGTCCTTGTGATTAATTCCACACACTACATTCACTTAACACCACCTATATTCAATACTGAAGAGTTTTTGGTAAGTTAGCCAGTCTGCCAGCAGGTACTGAGGTCCCGTACGGGAGGCTACTCAGCTATAGTTGTTATTTTGAGCCAATATCTCTAGATTGATATTTCAATTTGTTTGCTAGTATCACGCTAGGATATCCGCTCGTCAGGGTAGGAAAGTGTTAGTAGATTCAATAAGGCCCTAATGTAGGCTCTGAATACTAACAATCAAAATCCCAGCACAAAAGACAGCACATAATTTCTTAGGTTTTAATTTACTTTTTATCTACGTTGTTCACATGAAACGATTTTTTGTTAAATACATGGGCAATACACAAGTTATAAAATATGTTATGAACAAACAAAAAAACATAAAAATTAGAAAAATAATACTTGTATAAACAAAAAAAAATATATATATATATTTAACTGACCTGTGAATGCTTCTTATGACACACAAACTAATCACGAATTGGATTTAACAATCAGTTTAATATAAGATAAAAATTTAATAATGAATAATGGCGGTCACTAGCTTGTTCTCTAATCTCTCATGTTCTTCTATCTACCCTTCGGTACCTTTCTGTGGCGCTCCCGTTCCCACAAATTTCACAGCGGTTGCAATATTTACCATCTGCTTTTCTATAGCAAACATTGTTTTTAAAAATTTAATATTTGAAGAAATAATATTTTAAATAGGTGGTTTTCCTCAATTCCCTTATCGAGTTAGGTCGTAAATAGAGTATCTATCTAAAAAGTCGATCCTGCCTCGTGAGAACTTGCCGTGAAAGGTGGCGGGGCAGCTTATTGGGGCAAAGGCCCGCAGTATCAGCTTTGACACCTATCAAGTTTTGCCCTGGTTAATGTGTCAAATTGAAGGTGTCAATAAGTTGATTTAAGGTCTGTTTGCACAGAAATCACAAACCACTTGAGCTTTTTTCCTGTACAAAATGCATGATCTGGCAGCCTATGATAATCAACCCTGTTAATACATGAGCTAATCGGCCCTCATCGAAACATGTAGGGCTTTTTGAAACTAATAAAGTATTTTTGGAGGAAGACTTTGAGTTTAACCTAGTCCCTTTAGGAGCGACATCTTTAAGATCAGTGCTGAACACATGTTTGGTTTAAGTCTCTCCTGACAGGAATAACCTCCTTGTTTAATAACAAGGGCAGACTTTGGAATAAAAACATTATACATTTTCGGTAAAACTGTTCATTTTCATTTATTTCAGCATTTCATGAACCGACATTTCGGAAATTTATTGTTGGTGTGCTACTCTAAGAGTTCTCTATTTCTCATTTAAATCCATGACCAGAATTTGCATATTGATGTTAATAAAATGTATAATAAGTTTACTATTTAGAATGCGTATTTTGCAACAAAAATGGGAGAACTCCTACTCCTATCTATTATTTTTATGAACCTAACTTCATTTTACTGGAAAATTGTCTAAATTTGGAATTAAACATTAATTGGTGGCGTGGATAAATAAAATATGGACCTGCATAGAAAAAAAAAAAAAGTCAGAACAGAAAATGCGACGAAGACGTTAGTTGGAAATGAAATTTACCTTCCCACAAATAACGATAGATAATTCAGAAGGTAACACAGTACATTTTATATCAGCTTGAACATTGGCCCATGGACCAGCATGAGAAAAAAAAAGATGTTCCTGGATCCTGGCAGAATTTAGGAAAATTTAAAATAAAGGGAGGTTCCTTCGATGGAAATTTGACTACTTGGGTTTAAAACAGGTAGTTTCTTGGTTTTCAATTTTGTAAAGCTACTCTGACCACCTTACAACATACACCTATCCAGGGTCCTTATTCTTGAAACAGGGGAGACACGTTCTCAGGAGAACGAGTGTTTCTTCTTTCTCGATGATATGCAAATGATGATATAAGAAACACTTTTTCTCCTGGGAACGCTGCGCGCTGCTTCCCTGGGTCCTTATTCTTGAAACAGGGGAGTAGCGTTCCCAGGAGAACCAGTGTTCCGTCTTTCTTATTTATATGCAAATGATAATAAATATAAGTAACAAAGACGGAATACTCGTTCTTCTGGGAACGCTGCTCCTCGGTTGGCTTGTTTCAAGGATAAGGACCCTGGGGGTGCAAATTCTATTTCCCCGGTTTGTCAGATACGTATGTTTTATCCATAAGTTACTACTAAAAACAGTTCACAGTTCTTCATTCGAACTATTTCGACCAACTCAGCTTTTCTGTGCATTGAAAGTAGGTATACCTACTAGTATCAAATGCTGTGTGTAAAACATGTGACATCAATACTACGTTACTTTAACGATTATATTGATCATAAACATTTCATGTTCGACGTCATATATTTTTTTAAAATATTCGATTGAGGCGCGGTTTATTTATCTGCAGATACACCTGTTGGTAACTATATGCAAGATGAATTTACCGTTCTATAATTCTATTGGTCAATGAATAACCTGGCTGGCTTATATTGCGTTTTTATCTGTAAGATTGCATACCTGACAGTTTATCATTTTATAATGAGTTATTTGCTGAAAAAAAAAAATTAAAAACACCATTTCAGTATAGTAAACTGTAACCATTATTCCAGCTGACGAAGAAGAAATACCAGCTATTTCTTGCCATTGTCTGTTCATAAATCATTGTTATTATCAAAGGAGGCATTGGATACATCCCTATTGAAGAAACAGGAAGTCATATGGCGGGTTCAATTATTATTCAAAGAGTTAAATATGTATCCAGACAAATTTCAGTCTTTCTATAGAATGGAAAAAGAAACCTTTGATTCATTACTCATGCCCGTATTACATCTGTGTATTTTTCCGTGTATTTATTCATGTAGTTCAGGGTGCCAACATTATTTTGTTTTTCATAATGCTTATTTATGTTGGGTTTGAAGTTTTTCGGTTGTCACCCTGAACTACATGAATACACGGAAAAATACACAGATGTAATACGGGCATCAGAAAAATACGACCTGCGATTTTGAAAAAGGACAAATATTTGACGTGGCAATAAATAGATTATACTCGATTCAAGCACTAGAATAATGAGTAATTTGCGGATTTTTTTTTATAAATACCTTGTCAGCATAGTAAACTGTAATCATTCTTTCAGCTGACGAAGAAGCAAAACCAACTCAGGAAAAATTAGCTAAAGACGCAAATAAAAGCTCTGATGCGGGTGCTACGAGCAAATCTGACCAAAAGGATAAAACTAGTAAGCACTACAAAAAAGATTGTCAGTATAGTGAACTGTAACCATTCTTTCAGCTGACGAAAAAGAAAAACCAGCTGAGGAAAAATTAGCTAAAGACGCAAATGAAAGCGCTGCGGCAGGTGCTACGAGCAAATCGGACCAAAAGGATAAAACTAGTAAGCAATACAGAAAATATAGTCAGTGTAGTAAACTGTAACCATTCTTTCAGCTGACGAAAAAGAAAAACCAGCTCAGGAAAAATTAGCTGAACATGCAAATGAAAGCTCTGCTGCGGGTGTTACGAGCAAATCTGACCAGAAGGATAAAACTAGTAAGCACTACACGGAAAGAAATGCTTTGATAAAATGAATCAAATCGACTTATTGAAATAAGAAATACCATAATCTATGCCAAATAAATTAGTTTAATCTAAAATGGAATAAAACAAGAAAAAAACTGACAAATATTAGCGTTTTAAGATTAATCTGCTAATTTCGCTTACGATTAATAATAATATAATATAATAATAAATTTGTTTATTGACATTCAAACATTACAATTTCAAATAATACAAATAGCAATTCTTTCAAGGTTGCCTATATGAAAACATGTAAATGGCAATAAACAGACTCACGTTTGAAGTGTTACACACTTGTTGTGAGAAGGTTGTTTGTGAAGGAATACTTCACAGTTTTATAGTCTTAATCGGTTAGAAAAGTCTTGATCGGTAAAAATGTCTTAATCGAGGATAACGTCAATTTCGAGTTTTTTAAGTCACATTCGAGAATATATTTGCCACATCATATCACTACAGGACACTTTTTTCAAGTCACTTAGATTATATTTTTAATAAGGTCATTTGCACCTTTAATCCAGTTTTTAAATTCCTTTTCAAATTTTTGAATTTTTCTTTCACCTTTCACATAATCTGGGATAATGTTGTACAATCTAGGAGCAATATAGCCAATATGTCTAGTGCCTATTGTTTTATTGGCTCTTGGAAGTTTAGACTTTTTATTAACTAAATTTCTTGTTTGGTGCGGGTGACTCATGACTTCAATTTGTTCTTTATTTTTGAAAATCCTTAAAGCTACCTTTTCACACATTAACTGCCTGATATTTAAAAGTCCGCTTTCATTGAATAGCTTTTCTGTGGAATATTTTCTATCTTTGTTGAAGATTACTTTAAGGATCCATTTTTGAATTGTATTTAGTTTTGAAATATTAAAGTCATTAACGCCACCCCACCCGTAGAGGCCATATGTCAAGTGAGACTGAACAAGTGCAAAGTACAAAGTTTTGAGATCAGACATCTTAAAATATTTTCTGAAACATTGAAATCTAGACACCAAATACCTGAGCTTTTTTACAAGGTTATTTACATGCAAATCCCACCTTAAGTGTTGGTCTATAGTAATTCCCAGATATTTAACCGATTCCACTTGTTTTATACTTCTAGAACCCGCAATAATTAAGCTTCCACTGATAGGCAACCCTGTTTTATAAGACGAAAACGGCAAATAATATGTCTTATCTATATTTACTGTAAGAGAATTATGATTGAACCAGTTTTGTATTTGTTTGAAATCTTCTTCAGCTATTTGCTTTACTTCCGGCCAAGTGTCCGCACTGAAAAATCCGGCTGTATCATCTGCAAAACTTGCCAAATCGCCTCTGGTTTTTACGGAAAATAGGTCATTGATGTAAACGATGAATAATAATGGACCGAGGACCGTTCCTTGTGGGACGCCATACTTTACAGTTTTCATTGAGCTAAAAGTATCTTCAATTTGCACTGTTTGATTTCTATCCTTTAGGTAACTCATAAGCAGCTCAAGGCACGGTCCTCTAAGTCCAATCCGTTCCAGTTTCCTGACAAGCCTTGCATGATCCACCGTATCAAACGCTTTGGCAAGATCGACGAAAATGCAAAGTGAAGGTTTTTTGTTGTCTAATGAATCATTAATTTTTTTAGTTAAATTCACTATTGCATCCTCAGTCGATCTGCCAGCTCTGAAACCAAACTGTTTTTCCGAGAGCAGTTTATGTTTTTCAAGAAAACCAATAAGTCGTTCCTTTATTGCCATTTCGAAGACCTTTGCAACAGATGAAATGAGAGTTATAGGTCTATAATTTATGATATGCTTTTTGTCCCCTCCTTTATATATTGGTTTAATAATCCCAATTTTTAAGATTTTAGGAAAATATCCAGTTGCAAAGCATTCGTTTATTAAGAAGGACAGATGTGGCGATATTACTTATGATATATTTTTTAAAGATTCCGCTCTAATTTGGTCATGTCCTGGAGTTTTTTTTGATTTTAGTTTTTTTATAAGGTTTTGAATTTCTGTGGGTGTGGTTGGGGTTAAAAAAATTGAATTTAAAGTCTTGGGTTGTTCCTCTGGTGTCATATGTGGGGGTTTTATTTTTTTTTCATAGATTTCTCCAAGTTCAGAGTAGTGTTTATTGAAAGCTTCTACAATGTCTGTTGTATTTGTGTATGTTGTGTTATTATTTACTATTATTTGTTTCATATCTAGATCTGTTTTTTTGTTGTTATTTGTTATGTTGTTCGTCATTTTCCATAGCCTTTGAGAGGAATTTGTGGCGTTTTTCACCTGTTTTTCGTAATACCGCTTTTTAGCGTTGTTTATTTCGTTTGTTAAATTATTTTTATATTTTTTATAATTGTTATGCAGTTCTTTGTTCTCCGGCTGTAACTTTACATGTGTGTACATTTTATTTTTTTGGGAGACAGCATTTATCAATGTCTTTGTCATCCAGTTTTCAGATTTTATTTTAGAAGTAACTGTTTTTGTGCAAGCCTCAGTTGTTGATTTAATTTTTTCAATCAGAATTTCTGCCGCGCTCTCTAAATTCTGGGTTCTATAAAAATTGTTCCACGTTTCAGGAGCTTGCAGTTTGTTAATCACTTCCTTGTAATGTGTGTAAATTTTTTTAAAAGTCTTTTGTAAAGAACGTTTTTGCCTTTTTTCAGATTCTATAAAAGCCATAATTGGAAAATGGTCTGTTAAATTGTGTTCGAAAATGATGGACTCTATTTTTAGCTGTTTCTTGTTTGATCTTAGAAATATATGATCCAGGCAAGAACACTGATCACCTCTGACCCTTGTTATTTTATTTATGTATGGCAGGAACCCGTTGGCATACATACAATTAAGGTATTCATCTGAGACATTGGTTTGCTTCAAAATGTCAACATTGAAGTCTCCAATAATAATTTGACAAGTTTTTATTGGTTTTTCTTGTAGGTAATCATCCAGACTCTCTATGAAATTTAAGCAGTTAATCTCATGAGATCTATACAGTGCAGTTAAATCAAATTCAGTTTGATTTATGCTAAAGTTCAGTTCAATGCCCAGAGTAAGCCCAATATTGCATATTCTAGAAGCATAACGAATATCTGACCTGATAAAAACTACTGTACCATCGTTTCTATTTAACCTACTATCATTGTAAATAAAATCGTAATCTGGAATGTGAAATTGACTTGGATCATAAATTATAAATGTTTCAGTTAGCACAATAACGTCAAACTGTTCATCTAATCCTTTGATAAATATAAGAAGTTCGTCTAAATTTTTTGCAATGCTACAAACATTAATATGGAATAGTTTTAGTGAATGTTTAAACTTTTTAGCTTTTTTTTGATAATCTTTAACGTTGTTAATTGTCAAGCATTCATGATTTGTAGGAGTAAATTTCTTTATATATTCATTCATGTTTTATTTAGAAACGTTGCCACAAACACTATATATAATATTATATGAATATGAATGTCAATAAGTAGCACACATACCAAATTTTACTAAATTACTTTTGTCGAGTTGAGCGACTAGATGATCGAGTTGCCTTCGTAGGAGGAGTATCTACCGCAGCAGGATTTCTGGTTATTACTTTTCTTCTTGGGTCTTGTTTGTCTCCTTTTTTATCGTCTGTTCCTGTTTTTGTATTTTCTTGCAGATTTGCTGGTTTATGCTCTTCAATTGGTGTCGCGGCTACTTGTTCAGGGGTATCGTCTACTGCTACGAAAAAGTCGTTCGAATCATCTTCCGTCAGGGATAACGCAGATAAACCTGGGACGCTTACAGAGCGCCTCGGAGGCGGCCCATAAAAAACATCTTCGTCTAAATCACCAGATGTCGATTTGAAAATATCACTTTGTAACAGATCTTCGTATGTGTAAATATCGTTTCCCACATGTAAATTGTTTTTTTTAATGAAGGCCGTAAGTCCAAGTTTTCTAGCTTCTTTAAGGTTACTATATAGAACTTTATTAATCTCTCTTTCAGCCTTAGTTAGATCGTTCGATAAAAAGACAGATTTTCCTTTTAGTTTGCGGGCGTTTTTAAGCAAGATGTCCTTTTTAATGTAAGTTGTTAATTCAACTAAAAGTGGTTTTTTTTTTTCGGTTTCTGGTCTGCCCAAATAGTACGTATTATTTATTTCATTAGCATTAAGGTCTACTTCCAACAGGTTTTTAAGTTTATCCACTACCCATCTCACTAAGTTTTCTCCTTTCAACTCAGTTTTATTTGGAAGCCCATATATGATAAGATTATTTTTCCTAGCCTTATTTTCTAAAACATTTATTTTTAATTCTAAATCTTGATTTTTGTCTTCAAGAGTTTTTATTTTGTGTTTTAAAACATGATTTTCCTTAATTAAATCATCGTTCACTTTTTCTATTTTACTGCTGAGATCATTGCTGCTAGCAATAATTAACTTTTTAATCTCTTCTAACTGATCCTTATTGCTTAAATCTCCTGTTGTATTTGGCATATTCCTTTTTACTTAGAAAATTAAAATTAAAATTTTAACGTGTATGTTCACCTCAAATATCTTTGGTTCACCTATACGCTTTTTTGTTTGCCGATCGGAATGTCTGGTTATTTCAATTTAGCAACAATGATTCAATTTAGGTACTTATAGAAGGCCAAAGTGCAAAAAAAAGTATGTGTACATACCAAGTGAATGTTGTTGATAACTTTTGCCACTTTTCGTAATTTAATTCAACGTAAAACTAGTAAAATTTAACATTTTTCACGAGACTTCTTTTAACAGGTTACTTGTTCTAAAGGCGACCACTACTACAATTTGAGAAATTGAGATTCCTAGTGAGTGTCTGGTAGAATAAGTTCCATCAAAGTTATCTCAACAAGCATCATAGTGAAATTTTTTACATATTTCACAGATCTATACATTTCCAAATCAAATCAATTAGGAATGAATTACTAGGTACATTGATTTAAAATATTTAAAGTTTCAACACAGAATAATATGGGCATTAATTTACTTTTGATCTATATG